ATTTATTTATATTTATTTTTAGGGATGAGAGAGTCAACTATGTAATGATTGAATCACAGTCCAGACCTGCCCTGCAAGAAATATTAAAGGGAATCCTTTGAGCAAAGAGAGAGCCCATGCTGTGGCTCTTTTGGTAGAGCTTCTTCTTTGGTTACTTTTATGTGGTAGAAAGTAATCTTCATAGCGATGATTCATTAAGGCAAGAACATTGAGTGCTGCTGCTACAAACTTGATGGCTGTTGTTGCAGATTTGTTGTTAAGGTCTAGGATAAACAAAGCTCTATTCATTCTTCATCCTTTCATTTTTTCATTCATTCCTCTCCCCACCTCCCTCAGTTTAGCAAATCATATACTCTTCAGTGGAGCTGAGAACTGGTAAGTCTGCTCTTCACAGTGATTTGGAACTTTCCGATCCCAGAGGAAATTTGACCAAGGTCTAAAATTTATTTTTTCTTATCTGTAGTAGGTCAACTGTAAAAAGAAAATTTTCTACTTATTTCCTTATAGATTTAAGAATCTTTATTTATCCTGGGATTACTTTTCCAGACCTCTGCAGGAGGATTCCCATAAGAGACCATATGATAGTTCCAGAACAGTTAAAACACCTTTAGCTATTAACTCTCATGCCTAAACCTTATTTCTCTTATCATCCCTTCACCATATTTGAGCTTAGCTTATTTTCTCTGTTAATTGGAAGTAAAATCATTTTAACCTGCCTAGTTTCATCTGACATATGGGATCCTGATTTTACCACATACTTTTTCCTTAGGGGACTGCACAGGACTGAGTCCATATGGAAGAAGAGCTTTCCCTTTCCTATGGAGAAAGTGGCAAGGTTAGAAGAAAACATACAAACGTGCCTTTGGCATGTGTACTTTCTGTTGCATGAAACATGTATCAAACATCTACTGTTCACCCAACAGGAAGATGAGGGAGATAGCATCTGTCTTTGAGGGTCTCACAGTATAGTGGCTCAGATACAAACATAATTATCGTGGGTATATAGCATGCTACAGGGGCCGGCAGAAAGCTGTGGGTATTAGCTGAGGGGTAGAGCAGGGTTCCCAGATACGGTGCTCTTGGAGCTTTCACAGATAACACTGTCCTACAAAAGGATCTGAGTTGAATAATGTTTACTTCGTTGCCAGAGACTTAACAAAATTATAAAATACCTAATCTTAGATGACATAGTCTTAATTCATCATAGATATTCTTTGACTTATTCCTTCTCCTTCACAGCTCCACCTTACAGTCAACCAGCTTAACTCCTATGTATCCTACTCAGGTTAAAATTTCACATCTTTCAGCGTGCACATTGATTTCTGTGTTGTGTTAATTTTATTAAATTGACACAATATCTGTTCTTTACTATTAGCAGCTTGATACTAATTGCCACTATTAATTTTCATTTTTCTGTTTTCTGCTGTTTTTAAATAAAGTATGGTCAAAACACAATGAAAGATGTAAATAATTATAAAAAGCCAGCATAGTTTACAAAGATGGCAAAACATCTGAAACCAAACCATAGCATTACCGTGTGCTGACTTGAAGTGTTCGTTTGTGAGCCCTTAAAGCAAAATAGAAAATTAGCTTACAGAATAATGTATAGAACTTGAGAATCTTCTAAAATGTTAATAGAAAAATTCCCAATTTTTCCCAGGAAGAACAGATTTTGTAAAATAAAAGAGAGTAACAGAATTAGCGATGAAATGACTATTACGTATAAAGTGTTGCATTGCCAGAAAGTCCTCCAAAGGCAAGGTGTTGGTGGGTTTCTTAAAATAACTTTTTTGTTAGTCATGCTCAACAGGTAATTTTGGTTCTATTTCTGTGTGCTGTATTTTAAATGTAATTGTGACAACTTAGTTGTCTAGAGTTGAGTGAAGTATCATAATCTGTTCAGTTCTTCATTTGGGTGGAGAAGCAGAATTCTATAGGTAGCCCATACCCAAAGGAGTAATAAAATGCATCTTGGTCTCTAATTTTATGGAGCTGTGTTTCCTTAATTATATTTTCCTTGAGCTAATATTAAAATTTTGCCACTTTGCATTTCTCAAACAGAGGCCAGTGAAAGATGGGGGAGAGAGGCTGGATGTAAAGGAAAGTAAAGCAAAGCTGACCAGGGAATAGTTACTGCCTATAGTAGTAGTATGTGCAGGAAGGAGGGTTACCTGGGCCAAATTAGGACTGAATTCTAGGGACACGGTCTTGAAGACTTATTGTGTGCACTGTTAAGCTCTCACTCCCTGGTAGTGCTTTTCCCCCATGCAGATTTTTTTGTTGCTTGCCCTTGGCTCTGGCTCAGCGGTTTCCTTACTTAACCGGTTGGGCACAAAGGTGGTCGGGTGCCTTTTGCAGAGATGGCTATTGTCATGCAGGGTGGCTGTTTCTCCCCTAGGAGCTGTGTGTGAATCTTATGTCACCTCCACTCTTGTTATATATACAAAGTCTCCACATACATACAATATATGTACATGTTTACAATATATGTAATGTGTACAGCTATGTACACTCATGAGTGTGTTGTAAAGAAATATTTTCTTCTGAGAACACAGATGCTACAATTCCTTGAGATGGATAGGAAGTATTTACCTCTGAAAAGTGTAAATGTATGCCTTTTACAAATTAAGTTATAAGTTCTTCCAAGAAATAACTCCCCAACAAGACTTAGAAAACAAAAATTTTTTTTGATGATTCACCTTCAGGAGTCAGCCTTCTGACAGACATTTAAAAGCAGTGTATTCACACCTCCATTGTACCCAGGTTATATTGTAAGTATTCGTTTTCTGTTAAATTGTGAGCTCCTTGAAGGGAGCAATTGTGTTTCATTTTTATACCTTTCGTATCTGGCCCTTAATACATGATCAGTGATACTGTCACACCTGATGTTCTTTTGACTTGTGGCAACCTTTAACGGATGTATGACTGCAGGATACACTTCAACACACACGCACGCACGCACTACCCAGTGGTTAGTAGAGTCATGGGGTGGGTACTAGAGGTTGGGTACAAGTGAGTCAGAAAAAAAGTTCAGAACCAAGGATTTGTAGACAGGTGTTTTAGGAGCTTGTTGGATTTACCACCTGATTCTAGGCATCTAAGAAAACCACTGGATTTTTGTAGCAGGGCAGCTTGAAATCCAAAAATCTGCTTGAAAGGAGAAAATGGGGTGGGAATGCTTATTTTCTCTTTGTATATTGCTGTCTGCCCCGTTCATGGAAGGTAGCCCACAGTGTGTATTCTTGCCTTGTTCGTTAAGGACCGGATGAGAACAGCCAAAGCCTTGCAATTGTAAGCTGGATCTTCCAGTGGTATAACTTGATATGTGAACTTTTTTTCTCTGCAACATGTGCTATATGGAAAGCAGTCTTTAGAAGCAAGTGATCTTGGAAGATTACTTTGTCTTCCTCTACCTCAGTTTCCTTGTATTTAAAATGAGGATGGCAATATCTATGCCCTGTATTTGTGAAGATTAGAGATAATATGTAAGAATTCTTTTAACTAGCACACTAGTTCATCTATAAATATTTGATGCCACATCCCAAACATTGTTCTTTTTGAAATTTATAGACTTAAATAGGAAAAAAAATTAAAATGCAGACCCCAGAGAAGATAAGATTCCTTCGTGATATAAGGAGGTGGGTGATTTATGGTAGATTGGACTAAAAGCTAACATAATGAGAGATTCTGCCCTTAGCTCTATAGTGGCCTTGGGTGCTGCCCAAAAGATAACCAAGGGCTTCATTCTCCAGACAGCGTCTTAGAGCTCGCGTGGCCCGCTGAGGGCAGTGTCTGGCTTTGGCATCAGGGGAGCTTATCCTGCTTCAGGCGCTGCCATTAACTCAGGAAGATGCTGTTTACGGTTACAGGCTGCCTGCCTTCTGCATTCGTTCTTAGGGCTGCCTTCACCACAAACCGGGGGCTGAAAGCCATAGACCTTTATTATTTTATAGTTCTGGAGACTAAAATGATGTTACAGAGGATGAAATTAAGGGGTCAGCAGGGCCATACTTCTTGAAGGCTCTGGGGAAGAAGCCTTCCTTTCTTCTTCCCAGCTTCTGGAGGTTTCTGTCCGTCCTTGGGGGTTCCTGGACCTGGAGGTGATTGGTCCAGTCTCTGCCTCTGTGACCACGTGGGCTCCTTCGCATGGTGTGTTGCTTAATTTGTGTCACATTGAGTGGGCCACTGGTGCCAGATTAAACGCTGCTTCTGGGTGTGTGTGTGTGTGTGAGTGTTTCTAGAAGAGTTTCTGAATTGGGGAACTCAGTAAATGGTTTGCCCTCCCTGGTGTGGGTGGGTATTATCCACGGTGCTAAGGGACTGAATAGAACAAAAGGGAGGAAGGAGGCATTCATCCCTTCTTTTCCCTGTTTCACTGATTGATAGGGGTCACTTCACTTCATCTTTTCCTGCCCTCAGACTGGGATATACATCACTGTCTCCCCTGATTCTCAGGCTTTCGGGTTCGTTAAATTATGCTACCAGCCCTCCTGGGTCTCCAGCTTGCAGATGGAGATCATGGGACTTCTGAATCTCCATCAACTTGTGAGCCAAGTCATCATAATGTATGTGTGTGTGTGTGTGTGTGTGTGTGTGTGTACACACGCATACACTCTCCTGACTCCTAAAGTGTGTGGGACAAATATGCTTTCAGATCTGCAGAAAATAAGTAGCTAGTCCAATCAGCTTTCTACCAGAATGCTTTCCTGGTAAGGTTGACTTAATAGCTGACAGGAAAGACAGGCCTCAGAAAATCCTTTGCTCCTTTAAATTAAGCAGGAGTATGGTGACATGCCATTTGAAAGACAACATTGGCTGTTTATGCACCTTATTGTAATCCTCAAATTTTTGAAAGCTACAAAGCACATATGTAAAAATGTTTCCAGTAGAGCAAATAAATAAAAGTTCTCTTTAAAACAGCTTTACAGTATCCACATAGTATGCTCTTATGGGAGCACAGGAGCTTATGATCTTAACGTATGCTTTTATGGGTTTAATTGTTTCCCCCCCACCAACCCCAGTTTCTATGTTGAAATCCTAACCCCCAAAGGTGGGGGTTATTAGAAGGTGGGACTTAGGGATGTGATGAAGTTATGAAGGTGGAAGCCTCATGAATGGGATCAGTGCTTTATAAAAGGGTCTCCAAAGAGATCCCTGCCCCTTCCATCCCATGAGGAGGACATTGTGAGAAGGCAGTGGCTATGAAGCGGGAAGGGGGCCTTCATCAGAATATGAGCGTATTGGTGCTTTGATCTTGAAATTCCCAGTCTGCAGAACTATGAGAAGTAAATTTTTGCTGTTTATAACCCACCCCTGTGTGGCATGCTGTTAGAGCAGCATAAATGCACTAAGACACCCCAGGACCCCAAAAGGTGACCTTATTTGGAAATGGGGTCATTGCTGATGTGATTAGTTAAGCTGAGGTTATTACGGTGAGCCCTAATTCCAGTATGACTGGTGCCCTTATGAAAAGGGGCAGTTTGGGTCAAGAGATGGACGTGCATGCAGCAGAGATGATATGAAGACACAGGGAGAAGATGGCCATCACAAGCCAAGGAGAGAGCCCTAGGTCCTTCCCTCACAGCTCTCAGGAGGAACCAAGCTAGCAGATATCTTGACTTTGAACTTCTAGCCTCCAAAACTGTGAGAAAATAAATTTCTTTGGTGTAAACCTCTCAGCTTGTGGTACTTTGCTATGGCAGCCCAAGCAAACAAATACATTCTTTGTGGGTGTATATTCCTAGCAATCCCCAAACCTGAGTGGGTGGAGGGGGGGATAGACGAGGGAAGCCACTAACTGCTTGACTGACAGAATGGACCCAAGAACCGAAACTTCTGGACTGGTTCCTTGGTGTCACCTTCAGCATCGTTCTTTTCCAGGAACGCATTTTGTCAAGACTTAGGTGCCTGATGAAATCCCCGTGCCCTCTCAGTTTTTCCTGCCTTTCCTGCCTTTCCAACCAGCCTAGTTTCCAGAGCTACATTTAAGACATAGTACTGAAAGTACAGAAGTCAGCCTTGGACAGTTCTTGTGGCCCTGAGGAAAATTAGTAGGTGAGATCTGGTCCCAGCCGGGGTCTCTTGGTTGCTGTGAGAACAGGACTGAAGCAGTGGGCTTCTCATGACAGTTCCCGTAGCTGTGAGGGGCCTCTCAAAACTAGAAAGAACGGGCCCTCCTTGAGCCAGTGCTGACTTCCACAGAAGTCAAAGGGGAAGGGAAAAAAAAATATTTTTAAATTAATAGTCTTAATGTGTGTGTGTGTGTGTGTGTGTGTGTGTGTGTGTGTACACGTATGTTTTTTAATTTTATTTATTTATTATTTATTTTTAATTTTTTCCTTTTCAGCCAGTACAGGCTACTCTGTCATCTTTGAAGATGTTAGATGTGGGAAAGTGGCCAATTTTCTCCCTTTGTTCTGAGGAAGAACTGCAGTTAATTCGTCAAGCCTGTGTCTTTGGCAGTGCTGGCAATGAAGTTTTATATACTACCGTAAATGATGAGGTAAATTTTGAAGAAAAAATTCAGACACTTAGAGTAATGGGTTTGCTAAGTTGAAGATCTTGGGGAGGGGGGACTAAGGAATTAGGTTTTAAAAAAGGCATGGAGGGTGGATTCTTACTTATTATATAATGTTATACAATGAAGCAATAATAATGGGTTTGTCAGAAATAGAAGTGCTTGAACTAACAGTGGTTTTTCCCTCAGATTTTTGTGCTTGGCACAAACTGCTGTGGCTGTTTGGGGTTAGGTGATGTCCAGAGTACCATCGAACCTCGGAGACTGGAGTCTTTAAATGGCAAAAAAATAGCCTGCCTCAGCTATGGGAGTGGCCCCCATATTGTCCTTGCAACAACAGGTAACTTAGGGACACAGTGTAGAATTTTAGCTACTGACTTATTTATTGGTAAACAAGACTTAGGACCACCCCTTAAATTGAGAACATACTTTTTGATTGGGTAGGAGTTTCTGGCTCTGCCCTGTGAACATTACCTTGGGTAACATGAAATATGAACATATCTGAATATCAGAGTGAGATAACAGAGCAGAGAGAATCTGGCAACTATTGGCATTTTTGATGTGAAAATGACAGTGCTGTAAGCTCAGTAAACCCCTTTTATTTATACTTTAAAAGTTGAACTATTATTGCATTAAAATGCTGAATTCACTCTGGACTTTCTGAACTTGAGATCCCTGATCTACGAATTAAGACACTAGAGCTAAATTCCAAGATGCCCTCTAACTTCTAGCACTCTGAGATTGTGACCATCAACAGTGACTAATGACTATATTTGATACTAGTAATATAAGGAATTAAATAGTCTCATGGCTGTTTCATGAATTCACACCAATAGGACATTATAATTAAATCATACTTTAGCATTTTTCTTAAGCTGAGTATTCATTTTATTAGTATTCTTTGAACTGAAAATAAAGTTTATAAACACTCTTTTGTAAACTAATTTCACATAAATTTTAGGGAATTTTGGTTGTCAGTAATAGGCTAGTTTTTTTGGCCCACTTTTTCACTGGAAACAACTAAAAATTCTAATAAAATATTAAAGTTTTTTTTCATAGAGGCATCAAAGCACTGACAAGGCTGAGAGAAATTATTGGATCATATTTAAGAGAAAGTGTGAACTAAGGTTAAAGGGGAACTTAAAGCTAGTTTCGCCTTAAGGGCATCTGCCTCTCCACATAAATGGAGTTCTGGTTTGATGTCCTTACAAGGTAGAAGGGATCATGAGTCAGAGATCTAACAGGTTATGCGAGGCCCACAAAGGGCTACAATCTAGGAACAGGGATGGGCTAGCTCTCCCATTTCTAAGGCACTGAAAAGAAAAACCCTTGGCTGTGAGCAAAAAAGGAGGAAAAAAAGAAAAGAAAGTAAACCCCTCCCTGAAGGGTTACAGTCATGGATTTGTATTTCAGTTCACATCAGACTGGGCCATCCAAGAAATCTCAAGCCTTGGATTTATCAAAGAAGTACCTTTAAGTGCCTTAGTGGCACTTAATAGAAGTTAATGTAGGTCCTTTCTGCAAGAAGGTAGTTTCACTTCATCCTAGGCCTGAAGAACTATCATGCCATTGAAAAATGAGTGTTCAATGGCAATTAGTAGCACATAGTCAAAGATAATCAGGTATACAAGAAAACAAGACACCATGAATAAGAACCAGCAAAAAAAAAAAAAAAAAGATAGCAAAAACTGACTAACTGACCACTAAGTATCAGATATTAGAACTGTCAGATACCAGTTACAAGATGGCTATATTTATTACTATATATATTTATTTATTGTTTGAGAAAGTACAAAGTGATCTTGAAGATACCTGCAGAGATCAAAGAAGATTTGAAAAAGAACCAAATAAACAATATAATTATCAAAATGAAAAAGTCAGTGGGCAAGTTTTATAGCAGTTTGGACACAGCAAAAGAAAATAAACTGGAAGATTAGAAGAAATTATCTGGAATGTAGCACAATGAGATAATATGGTAGAAAATACAGACAAAAGGAGTATATACTGTATGACTCCATTTATTTAAAGTCCGAGAACAGGAAAAACTGAATTTTCTTATTCAAGATTATATATCGGGAACTCTTGGAGTGAGCATCAGGTTGTATTTTTTGACCTGAGTGGTAGTATATGGGTGTGTGTTTTATAATTATTTATAAAACTGCATATATATTTTATGAACTTTTCTGAATATGTATTATACTACACAATAAATAATATAATAACAATTTTAAAATTAACTTGATCATTTTATAGATAAGAATATAGGCCCAGAGAAGTTAAATGATCTTCCCGTTATCCTTTGACTTTCAATCTAATGTTTCTTCCTCTCTGTCTTAGTAGCATTTCTCTGCCATTTATTAAAAAACCTATCTTCCAGCTATTATAATTGCATCCATTTAAATTTCATCTTGTTGCTTTGAGATAGAATATAGTTTATATTTTCCAAATGTTATCTTTTCTAGAATGAGTTTGGTGCTTTCGCACATGAATTTTTAGTTTTCATTCATGGAGGTGTGCCATATGTATGTTCATATAATAAAGTAGATGTTTTGAAAGCTGTCGTATTTCTTTTTATTTTCAGAAGGAGAAGTCTTTACCTGGGGTCATAATGCTTATAGCCAGCTGGGCAATGGGACAACGAATCATGGTTTAGTGCCCTGTCATATTTCTACTAATTTGTCAAACAAGCAAGTCACCGAAGTTGCCTGTGGGTCTTACCATTCTTTGGTGCTAACATCTGATGGAGAGGTGAGACTAGTTAGCAAAAATCTCATTGATTTTTTCCAATAAGTTTATATAGATTCTTATAGCAGTCTTAGAAATATGATCATTTGATTAAAATAACCATCTTCCTCAAATTCAGTCTTATTCTTATTAGCAATTCATAGTCCTGGTGGTTATATCATGAAGTGTACCTTTATGTAGTAGGGAGTTCTATAACTGCAAAATTTAAAAGGCTTTGATGTTCCTTCTATATTACTATGCTCAAAGGTTTTATCTGCAAGAGGAAAAATCCCACAATGCTGGAAAATATGGTTAAGGTAAAGTAGATATTTTAATAATATTATGTGATATCTGAGAATAATTATTACTATTTGTGTAGCTAGTACCAATAACCTAATTTTATGAAGTAATGTATTTTGTAAGAATGAATTTTATAAAAATTCTCTACCTGTGGTGTGAGCAGAGAATTTGAGAGCAAAGAGGAGACCCAGTTGAGACACTTTATGAATTAGCATGTTTCATTTTTTAATTCCCAGATATTTGCCTGGGGTTATAACAACTCCGGGCAGGTAGGCTCTGGATCAACAGCCAATCAGCCGATCCCTCGAAGAGTCACGGGCTGCCTACAGAATAAAGTAGTTGTGAACATAGCATGTGGGCAGATGTGTTCAATGGCAGTGGTGAACACTGGGGAGGTAAGAAAGTGGTTTCGTATGTTGTTTAAAAAAACCCAGTTGCCTTATTGGTGTCATCCCGACATGGCATGTTTCTCAACAGAGTGCTTGCTTACTTCTGTTTTTCATGGGCATTGAGTCTCTGGTTTTTCCTCAGGTCTATGTCTGGGGTTACAATGGAAACGGGCAGCTTGGACTTGGCAGTAGCGGCAACCAGCCAACTCCCTGTCGGATAGCAGCTCTGCAAGGCATTCGTGTCCAGCGGGTACGTCCGCCACTCGTTTATGTGTGCCTGTTTTTCAGTCTTTAGTGGCAAAGATGCCAATGGACACAGTTTTCTTGGCAGATGAAAAAGTTTAGCTGCTTGATGTTTTTCTTCATTGAAGTAAAGGCTAAAGCTCTATTTCCCTGACTTAAGTTATAGATGTTCGTCAGAAAGTATATGTTTCTAGGCCAGTCTCACACTTAGCTGTTGGAACGTAAATTGTTACGATGTTTTCCAAGGAAACTTTGGCAGTATATATCGAGAGCCTTGAAAATGTTTATACCCTTTGTTCTATAATTTTATTCCTAGGGTATTATCTTAAGGAAGCAAAAAGAAAGACACTTCTGGAATTAGTGGAAAAGATTTTAAAAAAAAGAAGGAAAGAGAAAGAAAAAAGAAAAATGTTAATTTCAATAAATAACATAAATAATAGATATAGCATAATTTAGTCAAATAATATATTAATGGTTAAATAAATTATACTAAATCTATATGAATGGGAATGATGTTTATGAAGGGTTTTTAATGATATGGAAATAGTGTTATGTGATGTCAATAGAAATAAAGATATAGATATGATGCGTGGAGGCATGGTACATATCCCTATTCTGTATAGAAGTAGAAAAATAATCCTGATCTTGAGATTACTTTCATATTTATACTTTTCTATATTTTTTCCACATCAAACATTTTTACTTTTACAATAAAAAAGGGAAAAATTCTTAAAAAGTAAAAGTGTGTTCCATATTCACTTCATACCCCTTGATCTCTGTGAGCATAATGAATGCCATAGTAAAGCTGAACAAAGCACACTTGTGTCACCACAGGACTCGTGTTGAACTTACTGCAGTTTTGGCCACACACAGGCTAAGCTAGTTCTGGGCAAGTACTGGTTATCTTAATGTTTTGCCTCTCTGAGCAGGCTGCCTCTTCTTCTTCTTCTTCTTCTTTTTTTTTTTTTTTTTTGCATCTTTGATTCTTAACCTATGTTGTGAAAGCATATTTGCAGGCCTAAGTGGATTTGGTTTCTCTGTTTCCAGGTGGCCTGTGGCTATGCACATACTTTAGTGTTAACCGATGAAGGCCAAGTGTATGCTTGGGGTGCAAATTCTTATGGCCAGTTGGGCACTGGCAATAAAAGTAACCAGTCCTATCCTGCGCCTGTCGTTGTGGAAAAGGACAGGTAATATGTGCATTTTCAAAATAACACGCATGTTCTTTAGTGATAAAACAGAATGTAGACATGATACAGAATTGTAGGGAACTTGCTGCTAATATTAGAAAATTCTTTCATGAGAGCGTTCATTCCTTTTTAAAATTGGCCTTTGGGGGCGCCTGAGTGGCTAGTTGGTTGAGCAGCGGATTCTTGTTCAAGGCTTGGGTCACTGTCTCAGGGTCCTGGGATCATGCTCCTCATGGGGCTCCATGCTTAGTGGGGAGTCTGCTTGGGGAGTCTCTCTCCCTCTGGCACTCCCCACACTCGTGCTCGCTCTCTCTCTCTCAAATAAATAAATCTTTTAAAAAAAAAGTAAAATAAAATTGGCTTTTGAACTGTTGGAGAGTTTGTATGTTAGACGTTAGACGTTGTTAGACTTTGTACTTAATCTGTATTTCAGCTGCTCTACACTAATGACAAGGACTAAACCTGCAATATCCCACTTTATTCTGCTCCCTCACAAATTACCTTTTCCTCCTTCTTGTTTTCTGTTTTGTATTCTTAAGAGGAAGTTAAATAATGTTTGAGGTCAATCTTCTGTGGCTTAGGAAAGCCAAAGTACCTCAAATGGGGTAGGGTACAAAGCTACTTACTCCGCTACTTATAAATGTGCCAATTGAAAGGGTAGGACTGTCTCATTCTTTTAGCTCCCAAGCTATCACTGTGAGGAAGTGCAAAATGGTGAGAAAATTGAGACTTAGTTTTGCCCACTTGTTTGCAAGGTTGTGTTAAGTAGTTAGCAAATCCAGAATTTTTCCCTACATTATCCTACTATTGCTGAAAGCCTTTTGAGTGCCTCAGACATGGCTTTCTCACTGCTTTTTCATTCTACATCTTCTGACACACTAAAATGGAACAAAAATATCTCATTAGTGTTTTTGTTAAACCAGGGCTGCAATCATTGTAGAAATTAATACTGCTATTTCCTTTTTTATAGTGAATATTAATTTTGGTTACATCTGATTTTAAAGTAAAAATATGGACACAGAGATGATCTTTCCTTTGTATCCAGTTCTTTTATATTTTCCTGTTGGAATATTTAACAATGAAAGCAAAGAACCAAATTGTCATTTTTAACCCCCTTGATTTTCAGTTGTTATAAGATTGGCTAATTTTGTTTAACCTGTGTCAAATAGGGTTTTTTTTTTTTTTTTTTTTTTTTTAAAGACCTGTTCTTGGTTTCTTTCCCCAAAATCTTAGAATAAGACCTTGGACCTCTTAAGGACTGGGGAGGAGAAGGGTAATGGAGGACAGGAACCGGTGGACGTGCGTCCGTGCACACAGCCGTGCTAGTTGCATTTTTCTGCTTCTGGACTTGCCAAGTCCACTGCTGTGTGCCCGCCAGCAACTTGCCCCACATCGCGCTGCTGGTCCCCAATCGCCCTAGCCTGAGTGCCAGGTCTTCTGACTCTAGTCCCGCTGGGCCAGATGGATTATAGGGCAGCTTGGTGGGGAAGGCAGGAGAGGCAGAAAAGCAGGGCATGGGAGTTATGGAGTGCCAGCTCCTTACCTGGTACCTGAGAGTATTGCTTTTTTGTCTGTTTTTTAAAACTCCAATTAAAAAAAAAAATATCTTTTTAACTTTTTTCAAATTTTGAATTATAAATGTAAAAAAAAAAAAGTAGAAATAGCTAAACAGTTGCATGCTTGCTGTTGACCACATAGTCATTATTTTGGCTGTAATATCATGGATGAGGGGCACCTGGGTGGCTCAGTGGGTTAAAACCTCTGCCTTCAGCTCAGGTCATGATCTCAGGGTCCTGGGATCGAGCCCCGCATCGGGCTCTCTGCTCCTGCGTCCCCCTCTCTCTCTGCCTGTCTCTCTGCCTACTTGTGATCTCTGTCAAATAAATAAATAAATAAATAAATAAATAAAATCTTCGAATAAATAAATAAATAAATATCATGGATGAATGTTTTGAAAGAGATAGTCCTGCCTTTCTCTTTCCATGCCTGAATTCTTTGTGGTCAGCCCTGAGTTTGCAGGCTCTCCACCACATGAATATTGCGAGGGAGGAATTTGTCATTCTGCTGGGACTTGTTTTGCACGTACCCACCCTTTTCAGCAACTGAAACTTTCACAGATATGTTATGACTGATCTCTCAAGAACTCACTTCTGACTCTTGGGGCCCATTTCAGGGAAGTTTGGCTGATGAGAAACAAAAGGATTAAATTTAGGGTGGGGTGGATCTTCGGGTCCCAGTTACCTGTTCACAGAAGTGGAAAGTGAAAATCTGTCTACATTGGATCTTTTGCTCAAATGACAATCCAAGGAAAAAACCTTTTAAAAATTTTCCCACAGAGGTCTACTTCTGATGAAGAATGCTAATAACATTCGTTAGCAAATTATGTTCACGTAAAAGTAATTTTAATGACTCAAGTGATTCCCTTCTCTCTAATCTAGTCATTCCCAATCTTTCTGAAGTCTCAGTACTTTGATTAACCAGCATTTGTCTTTGTTCTTGAAGTTTCATAAAAGCATATTTGAAGTTAAATTGATTTAAAGCTAAGTTTGCCTTGTGTTTTCGTGAGTTTTGTGACACCTTGCGACAATTGGTAATATGTTGGCGTCTTACAAAGCCAGGCTTAGGAGTCACTGCTCTGGACCCTTTATTATCATTCTTTGTTGTCCACTCTTCTTCTCACTCCCAAATTACCTTTTTTCTCTCCTCACTGTTTTCTGTTTTACATTCTTCCTCACTCCCTGCATTTTCATTTCTAGTGCCACAGCCATTAAGCTGCGGTTGTTGGGGATCATTTTGTGGAGGTGACACAAAACTCATTTATTAGGAACGTGTAATACCTTCTTTTCATTACACATAGCTGCAAACTAAAATGTGAAATATGCCAGACATCCTGCCAGGGAAGGTTAGCTCAGTTCAGTCACTGTCTGTTGCATATTACACTGGAAAATCTGAGCTTCAGAATTTGCTTCTTGGTGTGAATCAGATTTAAGAACTGATCACCTTAGGCCACAGCAGGGTGCCTTGGCAGTTGGTGGGGTCCCACGCTTAGACCTGATGGTTCCCTCTAAACTTTCTCCGCTCTTGTTCCTGTAGCAACTGCTGCCGTCAGCCAAGCCCGTTCCCCACCCCTGACTTCCCGTGTGCTGCTAGGTGTTCCAGGTAAACGTCCCGAGGCCATGCTTAGGGAAGGCCGGTGCTCTGCAGCCTTCTCTGTATCTCGACCCCTTTGCCATGTCTGTTTCACCCTTTCTCCACCAAGCTGTGTTCCCACCTCTCGTAAGGGCAAAGGCTCCTTACTCCCTTTCCATGGAGGCTCATAAGGAAATTTCAGAAGCAAATGTAGGAATTAAATTATTTTGGTTTTCTGGTTTTGGGTGGAAGGACAGTGTTGTGTTTCCATCAGTTACATTTTTCATAGAACATTATCAGGGAAAAGAGATTTTAGGTGGTCTCTTGAGAGTTCCTGCAGCCACTCTAAACACTTGAGTCACCAGAAGAGAATGGTTTTGCATGTGCCCTGTGCTGAGTAGCTGATTTCATTTACTCTTCACCACAAGGCTGTGAAATGACTGCTACCTTATCTTCTGCTACCCTCACCTTTCTTTTTTTTTTAAAGATGATAAAATAGATAAGAGTCTAAGTGATTTTGCTCCACAGGCTGCTGTCTGACCCCCTGCCCATCTGCTTCAAGCCGTGTAAAATGAAGTGTGTTGCTGTCCTCACGTTTGGTGTACCATGTGAGGGTAGATGGTAATAGTAGGGGCCCTTTTTTTGAATAAATGTATTTATTCTATTTCATTCCCCTTTTTTCTTTATTTGTTGAAAAGAGAAGCCAAGCAGGATTGGCCATATTCCCTGTGCGGGCAAGGAATCTTCTTTTGTAAAGCACACAGTAGAGGTTTGGGCCCATTCACTGACTTAAATATGCAGGTAGGAAAGGTCTCACTATCTGAATTGACCCTTGGAAATGTGTAGTCTCTATATGAGGGAGACTTCGCCACTGAAAACGCTTGGTAGTAATTCTGTAAAGAAACTTCTATCGTTAGCTACTATTTGTACACTGTGCTTGGTGTTTGACATTTTATCATTTAATTCTCACGTACTAGCCTTGCAGTATGATGAAACTTGAGTCTCTTAGAGGCTCAGGAGCATTCCCACAGTCACATGGCCTAGCGGTGGAGCTAGGATGCACCCCTAGTTCTGTTTGACTCTAATGTCTAGGCTCTTAACTGTGGTACATCGTAGCCTCATTTCTAGTACTCCTGTCTTCAAGAGCTGAGAGCTGCCCTTGAATAAATGAGTAAAATTGCTTGGGCCACACATGTAAAAATATACTTCAGCCTTTGGAGGCGAGCCATCTCCAGCTTATATGATGACCATCTTCCATCCTTAGCTGGAAAACATCCAATTAAAACAAGCGGTAGAGGGATGTCTCCATCCTTCAATTGCTAGCCTGTGTCGATGGGGTCTTTCCCACTCCTCAGTCACTCTGTGTTATTGAGTCTTTCCCAATTAGTCAATAAAATGACCTATAAATTGCTTAGTAAGATACCACATTAAGGAGAGAAACACACTTAGAAATAAGCCAGTGATTCAGCCTGCCAGCAACTTATAATCTAGCTGAAGAGGTAAGACATACGTCCCAGAGAGGATAAGGGCCAGACTGCAGTGATGTAGACAGGATATGTATCAAGTGCTGGGGTGAATAAGAGACTTCTTTCTTTGGGGCTGTTTGAGCTGGGTCTTGAAAGATGGGCAGGATTTCTAAGGCAGAGAGAAAGGAAAGAGCATTCTTGAACAAGGGATTTAACTGTGAATAAGAATATCGAGGGGCAGTGAGTACATCTGTGTATTGGAGCATAGGGTATGTAGGCAAGTGTGATTTGAAAGAGGGCTGGCTACTGGTAGAGGACAAATTACGGAAGGATTTTATCTTGTGGGAAGCCACTGATGGTTTGAAGGCACTGATGAGAATGGTGTTACCCGGAGGATTGTTAACCTGCCAGCCTTGTGCAATTTGGTTCAGAAAAGAGAGAGTCTAAGGCAGGGGACACAAGGGGCCGTTACTTTGGTCCACATGTGGGGTGTGCCTGACCTAGGGTGGTGGCAGATGGGAGAAATTACAAAGAGAGATTCTATGTGATTTGTCAACTGGATATCCAGAAAAAAGTGGTGAGAAGGGAGAAATCAAAGACGACTCTGAAGTTCTGAGCCCAGGTCACTGAGCATGCTGGTGGCATGGCCTGCTGTGGCAAAACCAGGATGGCAACCTCACTTAGGGTAAAATAGTTTACTGTGTTTTCTGAATCTGTATGGTGGCTTATTCTTTAGGAAAATGAGTTAGTTCCAAATCAACAAAAACAGGGTTTTCCATCAAGAGGTATAGTGTCAACCAGCTCCGTGGCCTTCATGAACTTTAAGGTCTAGTGTATGTCAGTTTCTGAAATCAGCTGTCTTGGGCTCTTGAAGATAGAGTTCGGTGACTCAGAACTATTGACCTTACTGTTTGTAGTGTGAGTCGGGGTGGCCCACAGCATGTGCCATCTGACACTAAAATTGGTGAGATTTTGATGAAAATATTTCTCGATATTGGGTCAAGATCTGCATTAAGTAGCCCAAGTCTTTCCACGTAATTCATTAAGTCCCGTTTTAAGAAAAAAAGTTAGGGACGCCTGGGTGGCTCAGTTGGTTAAGCAGCTGCCTTCGGCTCAGGTCATGATCCCAGCGTCCTGGGATCGAGTCCCACATCGGGCTCCTTGCTCAGCAGGGAGCCTGCTTCTCCCTCTGCCTCTGCCTGCCATTCTGTCTGCCTGTGCTTGCTCTCTCTCCCTCTCTCTCTCTCTGACAAATAAATACATAAAATCTTTAAAAAAAAAAAAAAAAAAAAAAGATCACTGTTTGGTTAATTTGTTTGTTTTGGTCTCTACCCTTGCTTGGATGGTACTTGCATTTCACAATGGGATGCATATTTTTGGAGGCCTACTGGCTGGAAGGGGTAAGAAGCAGATCTTCATGACTTGCGCACTGAAGGAGAGCTAAAATGCAAATAACTGTTTGGTGCCTGAACACTTAGGCGATTCAGTCTTCTGTTGTTTCGTTTAAATCAATTAAGGTGAAGGGACGGAGAAATCAACTTGTTTCTTCTCCTGTTTGTCATGTTCACTTGGTCTTTCTTTGTGAACTTAGAATCATAGAGATCGCAGCCTGCCATTCAGCGCATACGTCGGCGGCCAAGACCCAGGGCGGGCACGTGTACATGTGGGGCCAGTGCCGGGGCCAGTCGGTGACCCTGCCCCACCTCACCCACTTCTCCTGCACCGACGATGTGTTTGCCTGCTTTGCCACGCCTGCCGTCTCGTGGCGCCTCCTGTCCGTGGGTGAGCCGTCTTTATCCCTTTGGGTGCTGGCCTGAACACTAGGAAGACAGCTCTGGTGCTTTCTGTGGTGATAGTAAGGACTTTCTTAAATGTAGTATCATATAATTGATTTTTCTCTCATGGGCTCCTTTAAAAGGAGACTAATTTGATGGGTTAATTTTTCCTGAAAGTATCAGAAACCAACATCACATACCACATTAAAAGCAATTTTATTTGACTGCTTTTAATCTTCCTGGGAAACTGTATCTTTTATTTTTAGCCAGTCTATTTACTGAAACATGCAAAAATTTCATGGAGTGGAGCTGTCGGGGCTTTTTAGTTGTTGTTTTACCAGCTTTCCAAGCAGATGTGTGTGAGGCTTTTATCCTTAATGATGATAGAGATGTGAAAATCCACATTTAGGGGAGAAAAGCATTGCTCAGTTGGTCATGTATTTCGGGTATTTTCATGAGGGTCCACAGAGCGATGCTATATTCTGGCCTGCGTTTTCTATATGTCTGTCATTAACCCTAGAAATGTTTGGTGTTCCTCTCAGAACCCGACGACCACCTTACAGTGGCAGAGTCGCTCAAGAGGGAGTTTGACAACCCCAACACGGCCGACCTCAAGTTTCTGGTGGATGGAAAGTACATTTATGCACATAAAGTCCTTCTCAAAATTAGGTAAGGAGTCATTGATTTTGAGAACTGAAATAAATACATTCATTATGTTCTAGGTGTTCACAGAACTCTACTCAGTAAGGCTGCTTTGCCCTCTGAGCATACAGTGCAGCTGGGGAAACATGGTACACGTGACATGAGAACCGAGAACCAGTGGGGGTGGTAGAGTGAGTGTCCGGGGCAGGGTGGGCCATCAAGGAGTGAGGATTGTCAGCTTCTTAGAGACCTTGCCAGGTGGTCTGTGTACCTGGGCATTAGAGCAGCCAGCTGGTGCTTGGCGAGCATGTTCTGGGCTTCGAGCACCTCGTGGGCCACGTCCTTGCCTAGGAACTGAGTTTGTCATGCGGTTTGTCACCAACTGTGGGATAGTGAACTTTGAGATGCTTGGAAAAAGGAGAAGGTGAGGCTTTTACAGCACAACAAGGTCTGGGATGAAGTTAACACAGATGATAAAAATCAGATTTGCTGATGTATCATTTTTGAGCAATGATCTGCATCCATTTGAAGTGTACAGTCTGAGGAGCTTTGACGTATATATTTATGCCTATGAAACCACTGCCCTAAATCAAGATATGGAACGTTTCTGTCAGCCCTCAAAGGTCCCTCATGCCCCAGGCCTGGGGCAAGCTCTGATCTTCTTTCAGTCATTCTAGATCAGTTAGTATTTTCTAGACGTTTATGTTAATGGAATTCTACAGTGTGTAATCTTTTGTGCCCAGCTGCTTTCTCTTAGCATAATGATTTTAAAAATCATTATGTTGTCGTGTGCCAGATATTTAAATCCTGCTACAATGAGTCACAAACACAGCAAGGCATTTTAGTCTCAGGTTCACCTCTTAGTTAGGGCAGGCTGTACAGCATTTGTTCACTCTCACCACAGCTCATAAACCTGCATGGAAAATGTGGGGGCTCTTGGTTTGCTAGGGCTGCCGTAACAGAGGGCCCCACATTGAGTGACTCCAACAACAGAAATGTATTCTCCCCTGTTCTGCAGGCAGAAGTCCAAGATCCAGGTGTTGGCAGGGTGCGTTTCTCCTAAGGCAGACTTCATGCCTTTGGTGGTTTGCTGGCAGTCTTCAGCATTCCCTGACTTAGGGCAGGATCACCCTAGTCTTTTCCATGGGGCTCTCCCTGTGTGCATGTCTGTGTCCAAATTACCTGTTTTTATAAGGACACCAGTCACATTGGATTAGGGCTCACCCTAATGACCTCATTTTAACTTGATGACCTCTGTTAAGGTGCTTTCTCCAAATATTGTTATATTCTAAGGTTAGGGCATCAACCTGTGAATCTAGGGGGATACAATTCAACTGAGAAGAGGAGGTAAAAAAACAAAATTACTCAGTGTTCATGAAATTAACCCCACCTGATTTCCATAAATGCTACTCAGCGGCTGTGGTGCAGGACCTCGGCCTGGGAGTCCAGCCTTGTGTTTGCCTCATGGGGGTCAGAGGTGGAGCTCTCCACCTCGGGGGATCTGCACCTGCAGTGTTGTCCCACAAGTGCTGGTGAGTGAGCTTCCTGGCCAGCAAAGGAAGCAAGGGACCAGGACAGGGACACGAAGGTGTGCAACGGGAAATGAATCCGGGAAGCGAATCTGGCACCTTGCTGCATTTTCCCTTTCTTTTTGTCGGTTCCCACTTGTGAGCCCTACAAGGACGTGTCTCTCCCTGGGGGTGTCTGCTCTTGCTAGGAGCAAGGGCCCCACGTGCTTCTCTCTTCCTTTAGGTGTGAGCATTTTCGTTCTTCACTGGAAGACAATGAGGATGATATCGTAGAAATGAGTGAATTTTCGTACCCTGTTTACCGAGCCTTCCTGGAATACCTGTACACAGACAGCATCAGCCTTTCGCCTGAGGAGGCAGTAGGTAACAGCTACCAGACTTTTCCAGGAGATCGGGGCAACATACGCTGAGTAACTGGCAAGGCGGAAGTGGCCGTGAGGGCAACCACAGACAGAGTTCTCTTGCTGGGTATCAGACCCAAACTCTTTTCCTTTGTTATTGCTTCATACAAAGGGTGACTTGGTAGCTGTCACATGGCCAGCCCTATAAACAAGATAAAATGCGCAGTAACAGTAAGCCCTACTGGTCTCCACAGCCAGGAATTTCCCTCCACATGGTTCTGGCACGGAGCATTGTGGGCATTCTGGGGCCTTCTGTCCTGAAGCTGGTGTGTGGTGTTCACCACACCCCAGGTGGGACAGTAAAAGAGCAATACAGCTCATCAAACCGGCACAGAGTGAAAAGCATCCTACATCTCAGTTTACAGCTGTCGGCAATATTGTTGGCCAGAGGCACAGAGAATTAAAGAATTACTTCCATAAGAAACGAAAGAGTTCAGCCCCCCAATTTTTAAATATTAATTCCACGTGTATACATCCAATACCATTACCAGATCAGCATTTAATTTTCCTTGGGTAAACAGAAATGTGATTCCTGAAGTTTTATAGTTTTCCTTCTTTTCCAAAAATGTTTTAGTGCCTGTGCCCAGTATGTGCCACAGCTCTGGCCCTACCCTGGAGAGCTGCTGTTTGGGTGAATACACGTCCTGAACAAGTCGATCCAGGTGGTCAGTTAGGACCTCCGTGAGGAAGCGCGTGCCGCAGAGAGCTGGGGGGAGCAAGAGCGAGCGAGCAGTACCCAAGGGAAGAGCCTTCTAACCCTGAGAAGCAGGGAGGGCAGCGGTCTGAGACAGGAACAGATTTAGCCTGTGGAGGAAGAGGAAGAAGGCCGGGGTGGGTGGAGTGAAGTCACACTTGCTATAATAAGTATTAGGTCAGGTAGCAGGATGTGGGCAAGAACATGCTTGCTCTTGGAGGCCATGGTGAAGAGCTTTTTTTATTCTTGGTACGATGGAAAGCCTTGGGAGGTTTTGAGCATGAGGCTTTCATTATTTAGGATTTAACAGCAATATTTAAAAAAAAAAACAGTTTAAATAGGACAGTTTCTTTGACACAGGGAGACAGTGCAGGGTGTCCCTACGTGTGGCTTCTAGCTCAGGGTCCAAGGTTGCATTTGCATTACCTGCAGCCAGATGGCTGGCCCATGAGGAAGGGGCAAAGAGCAAATCCCAGTGTCTCATAAGGAAAAGTCCTGGAAGTTCCACTTATTCCAAAGCATGGACCAGAGGTGGCCAAGGACAGGACCACAGCTGCAAGAGAGACTGGGGAAAGTGGTCGTAGAAGAAAGGGAGAACGGATCTGTGTGTATGTCGGGGGCGGGGGGAGTAAGGCAACTAGCAGCATCTACAATAGGAGCAATATGATTTTTTTTTATTCCAATTTTTAAATTTGAATTCTAGTTAGTTAACATATATGGTAAGATTGGTTTCGGGTGTAGAATTTAAGTGATTCATCACTTACGTATAACACCCAGTGCCCGTCACAACGTATGCCCTTCTTAATGGCCATCACCCACTTAGCCCATCCCCTCACCTCCCTCCCCTCCAGCAACCCTCAGTTTGTTCTCTATAGTTAAGAGTCTGTTTTTTGGTGCTGGCTGGGTGGCTCCGTCAGTTAACGTCTGCCTTCGGCTCAGGTAACGATCCCAGAGTCTTGGGATCGAGTCCTGCATCAGGCTCCTTGCTCACTGGGGAACCTGCTTCTTCCTCTGCCTGCACCTCCCCCTGCTTATTTTCTTTGTCTCTCTGTCTCTCTTTCTCAAATAAATAAATAAAATCTTTGATTTAATTTAAGAGGGAGCAGGGGGAGGGACAGAGGGTGAGGGAGAGAGAGAATCAACAAGGAGACTCCTCACCGAGCACAGAGCCCGACACAGTGCTCAATCCCAGGACCCTGAGATCATGACTAAGCCAAAATCAGGAGTTGCCACTTAACCCACTGAGCCACCCAGGCACTCCTATAGTTAAGAGTCTCTTATGGTTTGCTTCCCTCTTCTTTTTTCCCCCTTCCTGTGTGTTTCTGTTTTGTTTCTTAAATTCCACATAAGAGTGAAATCGTAGGTATTTGTCTTTCTCAGACTTATTTCACTTAGCATAACAAGCTCTAGCTCTGTGATTTGGACTCTCTCCATAGTATGTTGATAATGCTGCTATAAACATTAGGGTGCATGTACCCCTTCAAATCTGTATTTCTCTGTCCTTTGGGTAAATACCTAGTAGTGGAATTGCTGGATCAGAAGGTAGTTCTATTTTTAACTTTTTGAGGAACCTCCATACTGTTTTCCAGGGTGGCTGCCCCAGTTTGCATTCCCACCAGTAGTGCAAGAGGCTTCCCCTTTCTCCACATCCTCGCAAACATCTGTGTTACCTATGTTGTTAATTTTAGCCATTCTGACAAGTGTGAGGTCGTATCTCATTATGGTTTTGATTTGCATTTCCCTGATGCTGAGGAATGTTGAGCATCTTTTCATGTGCTTGTTAAAAGACCAGTACGTATGATGGTTTAGGTATGATACTATGGTTAGGGTGGTGTAGCAATGGAAGTGTTGAGAAGAGATAAAATTCTGGTTATATATATTTTTTTTAAAGATTTTATTTATTTATTTGACAGACAAAGATCACAAGTAGGCAGAGAGGCAGGCAGAGAGAGAGGAGGAAGCAGGCTCCCTGGCTGAGCAGAGAGCCCGATGCGGGGCTCAATCCCAGGACCCTGGGATCATGACCTGAGCTGAAGGCAGAGGCTTTAACCCACTGAGCCACCCAGGCGCCCCCATTCTGGTTATATTTTAAAGATGAAGCTGACGGGATTTGCTCATGGAAGGCATGTAGGGTGTGAGGAAAAGAGAGAAAGATCACTGCTCTAAGGTATTTGGCCTGAGTAGCTGGGCTAATGGAATTTATCATTTACTAATATGAGGAAGATGGAAAGTGACAGGTTTTGCCCTTGAGTTTGAAAAGTCAAAGGAGTTTGAGTTGCTCCTTAGACATGTGCACGGCAGTTCCTTTAGAGCCCCACTCCCAACATTTGCAGGGCCCTGGGTGAGAGTCCAGATAAAGGCCCTTGTACATTTGTCTAAAAATTCAGAGTTATATCTTTCAGATGAAATACATTCAATCCTCGTACTTCATTGGAAAGTTTTGAGAGTTAAAAGGCCGGGCTTGAGTTTTAGTTGGAACTTAGAATTTTAGGACTCCTTAGAGTTCCTTGTGGGAATACACAGGAAGGACAGATCCCAGGCCTCCAGCTTGCCTCCTGCCATCTTTCTTTACCCACCACCAGCTACAACCTGCATTGCAAGGCGGGTGTGGGCCTCCCAGCGGGCACGTACAAGCTCCCTCCACCCCCATCCTGGGCTACCCTTGGGCTGGACATCTGCACTGGTGGCATGGTCTGGAGGGGAGGAAATATCCACATCTGTGGCCTCGGGGCCAGTTAGGTAGGGAATTCCAGAGTTCCCGGTAACCTAAGCGAGGTCTAGGAGTGGATGCCCGGCTCCCTGGCCACTGTGGGGAGGATTGTACCCGGAAAAGGTGCAGATCCAGGCTGTCTTGAGTGGGGGCACAGGGCAGGGTCTTCTCTGAGGGCAGCATTTCCGTGATTCTGAAGTTCAGGAGGCTGTGGGGCTATAGATAGGAATTTGGTAGTTTTGGAGAACTGACCAAAAACAATTAAGCCATCATAGCTCCCATGATTCCAAAAGATTTCAGTTCCTCCATGGGGCTTTAGCACTTCTATAATTTTGATAGTACTGGTCATGTTACAACGAGAACAAGTTTCCAGCCCAGTCCTCACACATACACACAACTCAGTAGCAGAGAGATGGAGAAACAGTTGATGTTGTCAGATTGATGAAATCCCGGATACTAGTAACAAATGGTCTCATGGATTAGCCATATCCTTGGCTTACATAGGTTTCCCATTCTACTGTGACTGATGTGAAAGTAGGCGACAGAGAGACTACAGAGAGAGACTACAGCCAGCATCATCAGTATGTATTAAATGGTATTTTAAGTTGGGGCTTAGGGGGTTGGTGCTGGAGGTCACTGAGACTTGAACCTTGGGGCACTCAAACATTGGGAAGTTAGGGAGAATGGCCCAGCCAAGAGACTGAAGAAATAGGGAGAAGAAAAACACCAGCAAGTAACACAGTGTTTCAAGAAGATGAGTGTCACCAACCACATGGAATTCTGTGTAAATGTTGAGTAAATGAAACTGGGCAACAGCCCCTTGGGTCTGGGTCCATGGAAGCATTAGTGGCATTGGGGCATGGAGGGCATGGGATTGTGCTGGAATGGCATAGGGGGAGAATGGGAAGTGAGAACATGGAGGCAGCAAGAGAGGAGGTCTGTCAGGTTTGCAGAGAAATGGAGACTGATGGGAGGCACACATGTTTCTCTTTTTTCTTTTGTAAAATTATGGGCACTGTTTCAGCATGTGTATGTGTTGAGGGAAATGACCCAGGAGGACAAGTCATGATGCAGGGAGAGGGACATTCCGAGCAGCCTTTCTAGGAAAAACATTTAAGCCATTTTCACTGTGTTCCTGCTTTTCCATTGCTACTCGTTTGGGTATTGTATTTGCTCGGTTCGGCTGCGTTCCCGGTGGAGCCACACTCAGGATGTAAGTCGGCATCCGTCTGTACCTACACAGCTTTTCCCCAAGGATTATATTCAAGTAAACGCTGAGTTTAAGCCGGATGCTTGAAATCACTCCCCCTAATAAACATCTCTTCCCCCCAGGGTTGCTAGATTTGGCTACATTTTATAGAGAAAATCGTTTGAAAAAGCTCTGCCAGCAAACTATCAAGCAAGGAATCTGTGAGGAGAATGCCATCGCGCTACTTTCGGCTGCTGTGAAGTACGATGCTCAGGTCAGAAAAGCATGCTTTCGGGGCGCCTGGGTGGCTCAGTGGGTTAAGCCGCTGCCTTCAGCTCAGGTCATGATCTCAGGGTCCTGGGATCGAGTCCCGCATTGGGCTCTCTGCTCAGCAGGGAGCCTGCTTCCCTCTCTCTCTCTCTCTGCCTGCCTCTCCGTCTACTTGTGATCTCTCTCTGTCAAATAAATAAATAAAATCTTTAAAAAAAAAAAAAAAAAGAAAGAAAAGCATGCTTTCAACTAGCTGACCTGGGAAGATGTTGGGTGTTTGGTCTACATTAAATATAATCAGCTCTGAGAGAGCAAAGATTTAATGTAAACAAGTGAAGTAACCAGAAGTACCAGAAAAAGTGAACATTTATATATTGTTAGGGTAGCGCTCCTAGGCAGATGCCATAAAGGAAAGGATTGATAGATCTGATTTCAGGAAGAAAAAAAAAAGCCTATACATCAAAAATATCACCAAAAAAATGAGACAATAAATGATACACTGGGGAAAATATCTGCAACATGTCGTGAAGAACGTTTACCATAGTTAATGCATAGTTCTTGGAAAACAAAAAGAAAACATGAGCAGTTTGATGGAAGTGAATGGACCAAAGAACGAAATGGGTTTATGAATAAATGGAAAGTACAAGTGAAAATAAGGTATAATTTTTCACCTGTGCCACCGATAAACATATTCTTAGAGGTAACGCAGGCTGAGGACTGGCGTTCTTCTGAATGGCCGCTGAGGTTGTGAACTGGGGTAGCCATGTGAGGGGAGACCAAATGTACTGAGAGCGAGCCTTAAGCGTTCAATTCTTTAAGGAATCCCCTTGTAGGAATTTATCATAGGGAAGTGATCATGGGTTCGGATGGAGACTTAGCTTCAAAGATGTTTATTGCAGCACTGTTTATAATTTTGAAAAATTAGAAAAAGCCAATAGGAACAGTGGGGATTGTTTCAACTGTAGAATGTTAATACTATGAAATTATACAGCTACTCCAATGTATCATTAATTGAAAAATGATGCCCCCTTTTTTGTTTTTTTAATGCATAAGTAGCTGACTTTAAAAACACTGAGATTCATTATCTACATAGAAAAAAAAGACCATCAAAGGTCATCTTTGAATGGTGGGATTATGGATGATTTTATTTCCTATCTTTGCTTGTTTTTTCTGAACTTTCTACAGTGACTGTGTATTGTTTTGATAATAAAGAAAGGAAAGAAAGCCTGTCTTAGAGCTAAATCTTTAGGAAGCAGGCCATACTTCTTGCAGTCGATTTCCTTTTGTTATAAGGATATCCTCTCCTTTGGTCAAAAAACAGGAACATTTAGTGGTGGGCAGAAAGAAAGGTTATAACTTCTTTTCTGCTTATATAAATAAATAAGCTTATTAAAGAAAATTTGGAAAATCTAAAAAGTATGAGGACGGAGATGACTCATCAGTCATTATTATTATTTTCATTATTATTATTATTATTATTTTCATATAGCTCCTTCTGTTTTTCCCTGGGTCACATGGTGTAGATGGCTCTAACACCAGATTTTTTTCAGTTAACATTTTACAAAATCTTAACCCACCTTGAAACCTTCACATTTTAAAGTGTAATGAATGTCTTTTATTAACCTAATCACATACTGGACACTTAAAACCTGCAAAATGCTTCATGGCTAGGCAGTGTCTATACACAGTCTCTGCTCAAGTTTTTCAAAGTCATGGGGAGAATCCTGGGGGCTGGTGGGCTCTCTCAAGTGATGAGGCAGTGGGCAGTGTTTCCACCTGAACGAGGCTTCATTTTCAAGACTTCTTCGTAGTCCCTATTTGTGTGAATTATCTGTATGGTTACCTTCCGGCCCTCTGAGTTCTAGAAAGTAAGCTCCTTGAGGAATAGCAGGGACTTTGTTTTGCTCACAACCTTATGCCTAGCTCTGAGGATAGTGCCCAACACATAGGAGGAACTCTTTTCAGGTAGAAACATTTCAGCTCCTATAGGGGAATATAAAAGTGGGGTATTTTAACAAATACTGAAAGTGGGATGAACAATGCAAATACTGTCACGAAAGAAAGGTACAGAATTCATACACATAGTTCTCTGAGAAGAAAAAGATTCTTTGTGTGGGTTGGCATGGAGGAACTTGAATATTTTACCCCATGTAAAATTTTTGAAAGCATAGATTCACATTAGCTGGACAGTTTAGAACTAATCTTTAGGTACAGCTGTACCAACATTTTTTCCTCTTGGCTCTCAAATCCTTTTCCTTCCTGTGTCTTAGGAATTTTCATGCGATGGTGCATTGCATTGGGATATACAAATTTGTTAAAACATTTTTTGTTATTCCTAGGATTTAGAAGAATTCTGCTTCAGGTTTTGCATAAACCATTTGACTGTAGTAACACAGACTTCAGGCTTTGCAGAAATGGACCATGATCTTCTCAAGAACTTCATCAGCAAGGCAAGCAGAGTTGGAGCCTTTAAAAATTGATCCCCACCTGCAAGAAAGAATTGTTAGCATTTCCATTTTTCCCTGCAAAAGCCAGAGAATAACTTCTCCTTCATAGTATTTATGATGAGCTACACTTGACCGAATACTTACATTCTATCAAAAGGCGGCGGTGGTCAGTCTGCGGTGGTCAGCTGAAATCTGAAGTTGAACGGCAGAAAGCATTCAGTGCTCTCTGATCAGCTGTGACTAAGCTAAGGGAAAGAAAGAAAGAAAAAAAAAACGGAAACGTCTTATTTACCATTTTCTCTTTTGAGTCACTTAAGTTGGGACACTTTTGGTACATTGGTCTAACTATATGCTATTCTGGCCAAATTTCCATTCTTCCAAAGGCTGATATCACATAGAGAGCTTGACAAGGAATGCTGTCATACCACACTGTCAGCACCCCGCACAGCGCCCTGCGTACTAAGTAGGCACTCAGTTAATTTCTTATAAATCTGAAGGATGCCTGAGAACAGCTTTATATGTGGGATACCGGATGAAGGAGTAACTTGCACAAAAACAAATTGAAACAGCATGTAACATCTGAGGGTCATTTTCTTCTGGTAACTGGTTCTGAGTCATCGTGGCTAACATCGAACATTAATTAGAATTCACAAACAGCCTTGGCAATTTAATTGTCAAAGTCCCAAGGGCTAATTTTAATTTTCTTTTTACTCTGAGTCATTAATTTCTCATATGGGATTATTGAATATGAAGTGCTGTCTCTGAATGAATGTTATTTCTGGGCTTATCTGCCTTACATAATTGCATTATGTCTTTTCCTTTTGTGTTAAGAGAGATTTGCTTGTGTAAGTAAAAATGATTCTGTGTTTCTCTTGTAGTTGACTTTTATGTCACTATAAAACAGTTCTCTTAACCTGGCACAAAAAAATTATAAAGTGCTAGCTGAAAAGGAACTCGTATTTCATGGACAGCATTAACAAGAATGAGATAAATTTATACTTTTTAGATCAAAACAAGTTACCCAACTGCAAGAGAGAAACTGGAACAGGATGTAGGAAGTAGTGTCAGATCCCTCTAATATGTGTTTCACAATATGATATGTGTTTCTCAATATATTATGTAAAGAAAATTCTTTTGGAATTAGAAACCTTGTTCTGATGCTGAACTATTTGATAATAAAGTGCTTATTTGGAGATAATAAGACAAATATGTGGGGTTTTTTTAGTCCCTAAGCAGCAGCAAAATTATATCAACCTGACATCACTTAAGTTTACATAAATCCATTCAATAAAAGCTTATTTTTGGAAGCAGCTACTCAGATAAGTTATTATAGCAAAGCCCATCCTAAAACATAGATGGCACATAAACAACATAATTACTGTGCATATTATTGAATGTGACTGTTCTTTATTGGTGAGGTCACTTTTTGTTTTTGTTCTTAAAGATTTTATTTCTTTGAGAGAGAGCACATGTGAACACACAAGCGGGCAGAGAGGCAGAGGGAGAGGGAGAAACAGACTCTTCGCTGAGCAGGGAGCCTGACCAGATGGGGCTTGATCCCAGGACTCTGGGATCATGACCTGAGCCAAATGCAGACATTGAATGGACTGGGCCACCCAGGTACCCCAGTGAGGTCACTTTTGAATCCTTAGTTTCTTTTTATCTGTTTTTGCAGACCTTAGCTGTTAGAGGCAAAGTGGCCTGGAAGTCTTTAGTTCTCAATCAGAATCCTGTTTTTGGAATTATATAGTCTTTTTTAGCTATTTGTTTTTTAAAGCCGTATATACCATTTGTTTTCATTATTTGATAGAAGTGCTATTTTATCTATCAAAGAAACATCCAGACATGGGATTGGCCACAGCTATCGGCTTGGGCAGTTGGACAGCTGCAGGCTTCGGAGCTGATTCTCCCCACACACCCTCCTGTGCCGGCTGCCAATGACTGATGCCTTTACATCCTCATAAGCGCTTCCAAAACCTCTTCCTTTCTTGTCTACTTTTGACAGGGTCTTCTGAAACTTCTTGATGTCTCTTTCTTTTATGAAATAATTTCATGTAAAAATTGGAACACTCAAGGTGCCTGGGTGACTCAGTTGGTTAAGCATCTGCCTTCAGCTCAGGTCATGATCCCAGGGTCCTGGGATTGAGTCCTGCATTAGGCTCCCTGCTCGGGGTTAGGGGGCAGTCTGCTTCTCCCGCTTCCTCTGCTCCTTCCTCTGCTCGTGTTCTCTGTCTCTCTGTCAAATAAATAAGATTTCAGAAAAAAAATTGAACACTCAAAGGGAACAGGTGCGTTATTTAGGCATGAAAAATGGCCTGCTCTTTACGGAGTGCCACAGTGCGTCAAGGCTATGCTGCCAGAGGACCAGTTCCTCAGAAGGGTTGCATGGACTTTTACCCAGATTTCCTAAGCTCTGCTATGTGAAGTCTTGCACTGCTATATCTCTCAGTTCTTCTTATCTCAGTGTACAGCAGAACGATCAATGGAACTTCTACAAAATATAGATTTAAGGATTGTAATTCAGTACATTTGAAAGGCTCCCCAAGTAATTCTGATGTTTAGCCAAGTATGAAAATCACTGTTTAACCCTTAAAATCTGGGATTCCAAACAAGAAAGTGCTACTTAGGCCAGCTGAGAGATGGCAGTTGAGTCCTGTGGATATAGCCCTGAAAAATACATTCCTTTTTCTCTGGTCTTTGAGGATAAGCTTGCCATCCACACTCCTGTAGGAAGGATCACAACACTTTCTAACAGATGAGTGTTTGTAAAGCCTCAGAAACCTTGCTGTTCGGTTAGGGACATGTGAGGGAAAAGGTACACTTCATAATGACACTGTACCAGAGATTAATGAATCCTTTACATAAATTCATCTTAGATTTTTGTATCCTTAAGTTTTGTTTCCTCCTGCTTACACAAGGAAGTTCACAATGATTAAGTGCTTCTAGTATAATTCCTATACAGCTTACACAGAGAAGGGTTAAGATTTTGTAAGAATACTGTTGTCTTGCTGGTAGAGGTTTCTGAAGATAACATTTAATGCTTTTTAGTTTTTATTTTTTTGCGGGGGGGATGTATGGATGCTGTGTTTTTGTGTTTTTTTTTTTTTAATTTTTTTTGGGTGGGGGGTTTATTTTTAACATTTAATGCTTTTTAAAACAAAAGGTTAATGTTCTTCAGCTGAGACCTGAAGAAATTGCCAGTTATTCTGGACCAAACATGATTTTTACTTAGAGGCAGGATTCCTGACCAGTGATAATGAAACAATTATAAACTACATAGTCTTGTTTTGTGTTGGGTTTTTTTGGTCTATCTTATTAGCCCTCCCCACGCTATTATTACAACAGACAGGTTGGGAAAATTGCAAAGAAAAATGAAAAATCATACCTGTTATTTTTAATTCAGTCTTTGCCAAGGCATAAAGACATAAACCATACTGATTTTCTCTCACTAAATTCCGTTGAAATCATGACATTTTCTGTTGAGGAAATAAGTGAGTTTGGTCTGTGGCATAAATTTAACTTTCATATTAAATTGTCATTATCTTATATGCCAAAGCTAGTATATAAGCATACTCCCAAAATAACAAACACAGAAAAAGATTTCCAAAAATACCCAGCTTCACATTATAAGAGCTTGTTTTAATTCCATTCAGACATTATACAGTGTTGCCAAGATATATTTATATGTAAGATGCTATACTCGTGGTACAAATTTGCTATTCCTAAAGGCAAGTTTTCCTGTTGTCCCGTAAAGTACATATTTAGTCCAAAGGAAGATTCTACTGAATGAATCATTACTAATGCCATGGACACTAGCCCAAAAATGAGGAACAAAAATATGCTTTGACAGGCAAATTTCTTTGAAATCATCCAGATGGTAATAGAACTAGGACATAGGGTTTTTCTCCCCCATTTGCACTAGCAAACTGTAATGAGAAGTAAATAAATAAATGAATTTGAACTTGTCCTTTTTATTGTAAGGAGCTATAACTGCTAGAATGTTACATCTCTGGGAGTGATTAATTTTCTATCATCCAGACTAAAAACCTCTAGTGTTATAAAGGCTGCTTGTTTTCGCCTTACCCTAAGAGATGCATTTCACGTAAGATTCCCATCCAGCATAAATACAGTCTGCTGAAGTATGCTTGCTGCTTTTCCTGCTCTAGGTTCTTTGTCCTTCTTTCTTCAGGAACAAAGAGGCTGCTGTTCTGAGAGGAGAGAATTTCACTTCCACCCTGTTTTTCCTGTTTTTGAGAACTCCTTGGTACCAGATACATCTCATACTTTTTTTTGGAGTTTAGTACATATGGTACATAAACCACATATTATGTAACACCTGAATAGGGCCTAGGTTAGATTCCCAAAATCAATGTATTAATATTTTTGTAGTCAAACAAGAATATTCCTACTAAGTGGGATAAAGGCTGTAAACAGTTCTGTGTCATAGATATACTTTTGATATCACGTGACTTTTGCACCAAACACACAGACTTGGGTTATTAAGCTTTTTAGATCTCAGAATTGCAGATAAAAGACAGTAGACGTGTGATATCTACATATACATGGGATGTTTGGGAGGAAAGGCCTTTAATATATAAACTTCGCATGAGATGAACAGAGATTCTTGCTTCCCCATTCCTTCTCACACAACTGTCCATGTTCCTCTGACACCTTATGGTTCCTCAAGCACCCAGGCATGGTCCCACCTCTAGGCACTGACTTTTCTGCTCTGTGGACTGTTTTCCTGTCTTTGTACAACATACTCCTGGCCTTTTCCAGGCTTTGCTCAAAGATCATCTCAGGGAGCCTTTCCCTGACCACCCTATTTTACATTCTTAAATTCCTTTCTGGTCAGCACTCCCTATCCTTTTTACTATGCTTTTCTGCACAGTGCTTATACAATCAGACACACTATTGTTTATTTATTCACTTGCTCCCTGTCCCTGAAACTACAGTCATTTGGGAAGCTCCATAGAGATGGGGATCTTGGATTTGTTTATTCATTGCTGTATCCCTCACACATAGAGCTGTGCCTGGAACATGGTAGGTACTCAGTACATGACATATTAAAAGAGGAAAAGAATATTATTTGTTCCCATATACTTGGAAAAACATGCAAATTACATTCTTTTTTTTTTCTTTTGGATTACATATGGGCTGCTTCTAGATGCTAGAGCTCTAAGACCGACCAGATGGATGCTTCCCATCTGAGGAGGGAGGTTGATGCAGGGATGAATAGACAGGCAACAGGCATGTTAAACAAGGCAATTTCTGATGGTGATAAATGCTGTTACATTTTTGAAGGAGAGTAACATGATGATACGGAGTAAGGATTTTAGCTTGTGTGGTCAAGGCAGGCCTCTGAGCTGATAAGCTCTGAAAGGAAAGAACCACCTATGCAAAATTCTCAGGGAAGAGCACTGCAGACAGAAGGAACAGCAAGTAGAAAAGCCTGAGGTAGAGAGTGTGTGTATTATGAGAGGGAAGGTCAGTGTGGCTAAGGCACATTGAGCAGGAAGAAAGTAGCACGAGAGGAGGATGCAAAAGCAGAGAGAGCCCACTTCCCAGGCCATGGGAAGAAGTTTGAATACCTGAGTAGCAATGTGAATCAATTTATAATTTAAAGGGGTCATTTTTGCTCTTAAATTGAAAGGTAAAGTAGAAAGAGAGGGAACATGAAGACCAGTTAGATGTCTAAAATGGTGGTCTCAACAAAAGCAGATAAATGACTCTTAGGGTTTTGGCTTGACCAAGTAAGTGGCTGGTAAAATGGGGAAAGACTAGAGTAGAAACAAGGTACTTTTGTTCGATTTTGGTTTCTGTTTTGAGAATTCAGGGGGTGAGGGGAAGAGAGTAAGAATCAAGAGTTCTATTGGCTATGAGGGCTCTGACCTCCATGAAGAGGTCAGGCTGGAGAAATAAATTTGGGGATCATCAGCATATGAAGCCAATTAAAGGTTAAGAATGGGTAAGACACCAGGAGAGAACTCAGATATAGAAGAGAACATCAGGGCACTTGATACAAAGAATACATCAGACCATTAAGACTCTTAGCAACTAATTTATTTTAAAATAGACAAACTATTAATTGTAGAAAATAGTAACATAGCAATTTTAAATGTACAGTTTTAACCAATACAAAAAAGCGATAAAGCAGTATCTGAAGCCTTACTTAAGAAATCTCAATACAAGATCTCT